GTAGGTGTTAAGTGATTAAGTAGTGTTAGTGCTAGGGTGGTGCTGGGTGCACAATAGGGGTTTTAAAAATAGCAGTTGCATTACTAAACTAGTTTTAGCTTTTCACCTGTTGCTGTTCTGATTGCAGGGCAGCCATTTGAAAAGAAGCTCAGTGTTGAATGGTAATTAACTCAGCCCTCTGCCGGGGTGCTCAGCTCATGCACCCAAAGGCAAACTTGGGAAGTAGCCTTAATTGAATCACATCTAAAGTGGAGCGAGGGATTTAAGGAGCTCACAGGAGGTTCTTCAAGATGACAAGCCTCTTGGTTTCTGCAAAGGCAGTAAGACTGTCAGACTTGAGAGCCTTGTTTCTGTATTGGCAGGGAGTGGGGGAGAATGAGAGTAAGTTCCTGTGTTCAGTTAAAGCAAAGCCCTCAGCTCTGTTTCTTCCTTTTCTCTGAAACACCGGCCTCACCTCACCTCTTCTCGCTCCTCACTCCTCTTTGTCTCACTATTCATTTCATCATTTATGTCTTAACCCACACCTCACTTCCTTTAAGAAGTCAGCTCCCCATCAACCAAGACAAGGGCAGGTATCCCTTCCATGTGGCAAAACACTTACTAGGTTCCTGAAACATTCACCTCGTGTCCCTGTAACCAGGCACTGAAAACATCAATGTGTCCGCAGTGGTCAGTCCATGCCAGGCATAAACCATGTCATGTAATCATTAGCAAAATTGCATGAGGCAGGGCTGTTTGTACCCATTTTTACAGATACGGAAACTGAGGCTAGAAAAGTTAACTTGCAAAGGAAGCATGAGGACTGAAATTCAAAATCAGTCTAACTCCAGAGCTCACACTTTGAACTGCTGTGCCATTCTGCCTCCCAAGTATTTGTGGAAAACATACTGTTTGATTTTTTTTTATATATATATAAACTTGAATAAATCAGTTTCACTGACAAGTTACCTCTCCTGGTCTCAGTCTCTCTCTTTTTTTTTTTTTAAGCCATTTGGGCCAGCATCAGAAAGAAAGAAATTCTACGCCAGAATGATTCGAAATAGGATTTATTGATGGAACAGATGCTTGCACACAATACAAAAATAAAAGTTACAGAAGAGGAAACAATAGAAAGCAACAGTCCCCCTACTCAGTCACCTAATTCCCCTTTCCCAGAGATAACTATTGAGATGTATTATTACCATGAGAGGAAGCCTTGGAACTGCATTTTGTATGATATGAACCCATCCAACTGATGGATCAATTTTACAGGTCCTGACCAGAATTTGTTTTTTAATACAATTTAAAAAAATTTTGAAAGGATTGTGTTTCACACAACTTGTGTTTCAGTTTGACGCATAGCACAAATGTACATCTGAGTCACAAGTGTAAAATGTGATATTACACTTCTCACCATGGAGTAATACTAAAAACTGTTTGACAGCCACCAACTGGGCAGACCCAGAAGCTGAAAATTATGAAGGTCACTTCCATGGAGAACCTCCTGCCCTTACTTCCCATGAGTTACTTTGGAATTCAGCAGCCAGACCCAGCAAAGCACAATTTGGATCCCTTCCCTCCTCTGTTCAAAGTTTTCCAGGGACCCCCATCTCCCTAAGAGCAAAAGCCATGAGACAACATATATCTCTGTTTGTTTGTTAATATCATGAAACAATTCCAAAATCATATGAAAAATATGGGCTCCATGATGTAAAGAAATTTGACTTGTAAGGGAGGTCGGGCCTCTGGGAAGAGACTTCAGCAAAGACAAGCAGCCTCCTTCAGCTGAAAACAAAAGTGGATGTGCACAGAGTCGAGGTATGGGGTGATTGATCTTAAACATCATTCACATGACATCCATCAAACTCCCTATGGGGAATCCTGGGGATACCTGAGGAAGATAGAATGCTCTCCAGAAGAGCTGGCCTGCGGATGGAGAGACTCTCAGAAAAGCATGGGCTGCATCCACAAGAAGATGCTGAAGACAAAGAAACATGCAACAGTCCAGCCACAAGGCGCCAAACTACAGGCCCACAGCAAATGAAGCTGCTTCTCACATGGGCAGTTTCTCTAGCTTTGGTCCAAGGTGAGCAGTGACAGGAACGCAGTGTTCACTGTGGGGCAGGCAGTCACAATCATGAAATACTGAGGCCAACTCTCCCGTCTCAGAAACACGAGCGGCACTCAGCAAGGGAGGAAATGATGGTGCCACATCCCCTCCCTCCTCTTCTGTCTCCATCTCTCTTCACTCTCCTGTAGGGCTATGTATCCCTAAATGTGGCAGCTCTGTCTTCACTGATGCACATGGGCACCTCAACCAGAAGAGCTCATGGTGTCCCATGAGGGCAGGGGTAACCGACTGCAGTGGCAGCTTCTGGAAATCAGGATGTAACATCGTGGCATATTTGGACTTGGATACTGTCTATTTATTCGGCGTGTAAGCTCATGTGAACAAGGCTCTCGTCTGTCCTGCTCTCCTTCAGATTCTCAGTGCCAAGCATTGACATTTAAGTAGGGACCCAGTGAACGTATCTCAAATGGATGAAAAAAATGTTAGACCACGTAGTGGAAGCTCTGGCGGACAACAGGTTCTCCAAGCCTAACCAGTCATCAAGCAGATTCTGCAAGGTGGGTTTTTATCCCTCTGCCCCTGGGAAGCAGCCATGTGTGTGTTCTGTAGGGTGAATTGCCAGTTTGACATGAGTTCGGTATAACTCTGCCTTTGTGCATCTAGGTGAAAAGAGATGACAGGTGGGAGCAAGTACACGAGCAAAAGCACTGCAGCTTGCAAGAGCATCCCAATACTGGCAGTGACCAGGTCATGACCTAAGAGGTCAGGTGCCTGGAGGGCACGGCTGGAGGCCAGGCAGAACAGGTTTGGTTAGTTGTGAAGGTGAGCAATGTTAAGAACTTTGTCCTTTATTCTGTAGCAACAGGGAGAGGAGACAAAGAAATGACATGATCAGGTAATTCTGAAAACAACATGAAAAAAGGATTAGAGAACTAGGAAGGCCAATTATGAAGCTATGACACATGTTCAGGTTAGAGATAACTGGGGCCAAGACATGTGGCAGTGGAGATGGAGAAGAAGCCCTGGGGGACAGTTCAAGGACGCGACCAGTTGGAAATGTGGTTTTGGATGTTAGATATCAGGGTTAGATATTCAGACTCAGGAGTCATTTGGGTCCTGTTGAAGTCATAGAAGAAATTAAAAACGCCTACTTTGAAGAAAAACACACACACACACCTAATTTGAGTAGTGGGTCATTTAGAAAATCTGATGAAAGCAGGCATTTTTAGTTGCAGAGGCTTCTCAGATACTCACAAAAAGCTGAGCAAAAGGTCCAGGGATATCACTGAAGAGCCTCTGGTTGAGAGAAAGACTATCAGAGAAAGGATCCGAAGGAATGACCTTACCAAAGTGTAAGCAGAAGACGACAGTGATCCCCAGCCTTTCTCAGCTGTTACAGAGACATAGACTACTGCCCATCAGAGGGTTTTTTGGAAAAGCAGAAGAGAGGATAAGAGAACATACGTAAAGAAGGAGTGCTTTGTTCCTGAGGTCAGAGGCGCCTCAGACAAGACCAGGGAGACTAACCACATGGCTGAAGATGAAGAAAGAGATGGAGCTCACATCTGATTTTTAAGGTGTTTGGAAAAGACAAATTGCTCAAGTAGGTACAACCAGAAAGCCTCTTCAAAGAGTTCAGCTGGGCCCAGAAACCCAGTCAGGTGCAGGCGGAATGCACAGCTCTCAGGAAGCCTAAGAAAAATCTGCTTCCTAGGCAGATGCAGGCCTCTTTCTTTAGAAAACTCAGCAAGACTAGTTTCTCGAGTGAACTAATTGCTAATCATTTCTGTACTTATTACATAATGAACTGCAGGCGTATAGCTGTATGCAACTGCCTGAAACTGGGCTCAGTATTATGTGTATATACCCAGTAGTCTATCTGCTTATCTAAACATATTTACATATAATTATGTGTTTATCATCTTGGCATATATACATATGCATATTCAGTGTAAGTCTGGAAGAGTGTCATAGTTTAATATTAAATATCCAAATATTCCTTCAGCCGTGTATACAGCTGTTACTGAGAACTTGGGTCTGTTACCCAATGTTCATGAACATTCTCAAACTTCTTTCTGGTCTCAATATCAGAAGAGTTGATCTCATGAACAATTGTTTGTTATTGTTATTGTTTTTTTCTTGCATGTGACAGAAATTGAACTTTAGACAAGGCCTCCTTTTTGAACACGAATACTCGAAATCCAGGAGAAAAGTCTTTGGTCCCACTTGTTCTATGGGATGCATTTAAAAAAACAAATGACCAGCAACCTTTCATTTCTGTTTCTATTTTATGTACTTCAATTTCACATTTCATTTCATATGCTTGGTGAATTATGGACCTTTGTAAGCTAACTTGAATTTCCTTTTTAGGAGAAGGTGGCATATACATATGAGGCTTTAAGGTCCAGAACATCATGGCTGAGAAGGAACTTACTAATGTGCCTGGAGTTAAGGCATGTGACCCTGATAATAGGTATGTTATTAGGACAGGCCCGCAGTCATTACAGGGAGTCAGCCAGATCTCAGCCCAGGTCGTGGTTCTCTCTAGTGGGTACTAGTTGTATGATGGGAAGCATATTATGCTCTAAACCTTAATATTTTTCATCTTTAAAACAGTGACCTCTTGGTATTTGGGGGAGACGGTGTAAATGAGGAAAGAACTTAGCACAAGGTACTCAGTCAACATTTGCTATTGCCATCACTATCTTTTTATCATTCATGATCAGATCTGCCGTCAGAAAGTTCTCCCACTCCTCCCCAGCTCTGTGCCCTTCACTCCCATACCCAACAGAGGCCGAGCAGCTGTGTCTCCCCTGATATGGATCGTATCTGGACTGTACCTCGGGGTGCAGAACAAGTATCTCCAGCCCAGTTGCTAATTACGAGCAAGATGATACTCAAAAGCACAGGCTAAGGCGGACCTACAACTTTGTTTCCGTTCGGCGCTCTGATGTACACAAGAGAGGCTGGCAAGGGGCTAAGGGGTCTTCGGGAGCCTGGACTGAAATTCGGGAAGGCGAAGGAGGTAGGGATTGCCCTGAGAGCCACTGAGCGGGGCCAGTTTCCTCCGGCTCCCACCCGAACTCCTGGCGCGGGCTGGGTGGGATCAAGGGCACCTGGAGCCTCCCCGCCCCTCCAGCTCCGCTTCCGACCTCAGCCCCGGGCCGAAGTAGGCGCCGGGGGCAAAAGGCGAGAGTGGAGGGAGGCGCAGGCCTGCGGGGCCTATGGAGTAGTGAGGGCAGGTTTCGGGGAAGAGCTGAAGAGCGCCACACATTTCCTCGGGCGATAACCATCAGCGCTCGTCAGGTGGTGGTGCGGCGGGCTGTGCGCGCGCGCGCGCAGGGAGGAGGGCGAGGGGGCGCGCTCACACAAAGTTTGTGCTGCGGTGCGCCGCGCTCGGGCTCGCCCAGCTCCGAGAGCGGCGGGTGGGCGGCCCGGACGAGCAGAGCCGGGGCGGAGGAGCTCGGCAGGCGGTGACGGCGGCGATGCCCCGCGCCCCGCCGAGCCAGTCCCGCCGCGCTGGGTGAGGTGGCTCGGGGAGCACGGCTGCGGCCATGGGTACCCTGGGCAAAGCGAGAGAAGCTCCACGGTGAGTAGGCGCGCCTGTTTCCTTTCTTGGGGCGGGGGGCACGGCGCGTACGACCCCGGGACCTCGCCGGGATGGGGAGTGCGGCGGCTGGCACGGCGCCACCTCCTCCGGGAAGCTGCAGGCCCGAGGTGCGGAGGGCGGCGGCCCCCCGGGGTCTCGGGTTAGTCCGGGGCCTCGGGTTAGTCCGGGGCGACGGGCTCGAGGGACAGACGCGCCCGGGTCGCCCGGCGCATCTCGCCCGACGGGCTGGGTGCGGACGCGCGCCATGAGTTGATCCGGCGAGACCCGGAATCGCGCTAAGCGACTGGATCCCGGGTCCCTCGGCGCGGGGCCCAGGGGACTCCCACTCGTGGACTTTCCGCGCCCCGCGCACCTGCCGCGGCCCCGGCAGCGCCACCTGGTGGTCCGTCCGGCCCCGCGGATGTCTGGAAGGCCAACTGCGTTAGACGCGATCGCGCAGGGGTCGGTGAGCCACGCAACCGCTTGCGTGGAAACCTACACTCCCCTCACCCACCGTGATCCTAGGGACATGTTTCAGGAGGGACTTGGGGTGACAGAAAATGACGGAAAAGTGACCGTGAGTCAAAAATCTGTTGGCAGGGTAAAGAGGCCCGGAGAGGGCGGGCAACTTTGAGTTTGTTCCCCAAAGGGCCAGAACCAGACAACTGCCTGAGCTCAGCATAGGGCCGGGCAAGCTGGGCTCTTCCCACCTCCATCCACGCAGATTATGTTGCGCCTGACGTGCCCCGTCCAGCAGGAAGCATTGCCCTGATGGACCTCTTGGAACTAAAAGCTCTTGGCCCCTTATGCCGTCACCCGCTCTGCCCATGAAGGTCCAGCGCTGTTCTCTGCATGGAATTGAGAGGACGGGGCTCCGGTAAATTAAATTCAGCCTGTATCATGGGAGGAGGGAGAGGACAGGACTGGAAGAAATTCTCCCTAGAAGCCGATAAAAGCCATCTTTCACTGCAAAGAAAACTGTGGGAGTTTCCCTTCGTTCTCTTTGTCCGTTTCACCCCTCGTTCTTCTGGCCTGAATTTCATAAGAAGTTCAACCTGAAATTGTGACCTCCACGGAGGTACCTGAGGCTGGAGAGGATTGCACCTGAATCAGTTCAGATTTTTGAAAATCTCCTTCAGCAAACTAGATAGGGTCTTAACCACTTGTAGCCTCAGGGCATGCTTACAAGTTGTTTCTCTCCGGCTTTTTTTTCTTTTTTTTTTTTAAGCTGGTGAGGAAACATTTGCCTACTATCCTTTAAAAATACATAAGCGTTTGCAGACTTAGGGGCTATTGGTTCTATAGATTGGAAAAACACCCTTAGACCTGCCTAAAAGAAAGTGGTTTATAAATTCTTATATCTAGCCATTTCACCAGAAAAGACAGAACAATTTGAAGGTCTGTCACAAAGCAGCCAGTCAAGAGACAGCACAACAAAATTGCCCAGTTTCCTAATTTATGGTGCACGTACTTCTCATCTTCCCAACCTCTCTGAATGCCGTCTGGGTTTTAGCAGTTTCTCTTCTCCCTGGTTTCTCCTGCCCAAGCCCTCTGAGTCTCAGCAGCCTCTCTGCCGACTGCATCTCTCACCTTCCTTTTACCGTCTTCCTCCCTAAATACTCCCTTCAAGTCCTTTCATTTTGGGTAAATGTTACCAGCCCCCCCTAGTTCTGGTAAAAGCATCTACCTTTGAGAATCACCTGGACCAAAGTGGTTTCCCCTTCAGGTGACACTGGGAAACTTTACTCGGATTAGAGTCAGGGCAGTCTTTGGAGTCCTGAATGGTTGATGCTATCAACTGAGGGAGAAAATGGAATTTTCCCTGGATTGGCCAGTTGAGAGACAGAGGTGGACACCACCCCCCAGTCCTAGCGGGAAGAGCTGCATATGGAGACCGCCTCATTGCCGTGGCCTCATCTCTCCAAGCTTAAGAGAATGTGGAAGGCATATGAGAAAAAAAAAGAAAAAAAGACTTCTAACCAGAAGGACTTTGTTTTCATCTTTCCCAACTCTGCCTTGGGAAGGAGGTCTTAATGGTGAACAGCAGCTAAGGCTAAAAGCTGACTGATCCCAACAGTGGATAACCAGTGCCAGGTTTAGGATCATCACTGCTTCTGCGGTCGGAAGAGAGCATGACATGGGCAGGGGAGGCCTGGCTTCTAGCTGGCTCGGCACTGGTGCCCCATCCCATTGTCTTTCCAAGCCTGGACTTGCACAGGCATGGTTGAAAGACTTGGAGAATGAGCTCGGAGGGGCTATCCAGCTTTTTGCTAATTCTGAAATAGTGAAAGATGCACAGTTCCAGGCACAGTAAATATTTTTTAAACAGAATCAGAGAGGTGCCAAGTACAAGTCCCAGTTCTAGTACATATGAGTTATACAACCTTGTCTATGTCACTTAGCCTCTTTTAGACTCAGTTTCAAAATCGTGAAATGGAGATAACATCTTGGCTGTAAGCTTTAAAGACTATGTAAATCTCCATCACACAGCCTGCTGTTATCAGAGATACTAGTTCCGGTGGCCATTACTGTTTCCTTTCATTTTCAGATACTGGTCTGATCTTGGGGCCATCACAGGGCCTGGGTGAAAATCAGTAGTGGCTAGAAACTTGATCAAGTCCTATAATACCAATTTGATCTTTCAGAAATCACTGCCTTGGGCTAGCAGATCCTAAGAGTCCATTTCTGATTGGACTTCACTGAGTCCATCCTAGGTCAGAGCAGGTGGCAGCAGCTAATGCCAGACCAGCATTCTGGAGCTACTTTGAAAAGGAACTCGAAGGGCCTGGTGTTCCCTCCACAAGTCTGGCTGTGCAGTCAGTGGTCCCATTGGCTTTTAACAGAGTGGTTTCGCCAAATCCACGTGTGCATCAATATTTTATTTTGATCCAAGTACTTCTTCAGCCCCTTCTGGGTGATATTACATCTTGTCAGTTTCAGCTTTCCCCAACATTCCACCTGGAACCAGTTCTCCCTCCTCTGAGAACATCACACTTCTTGCGCTTGACATTCACAGGCCAGTTATTTAAGATTTGTAGAGTTATCTTTTCTTGGTCTGGTTCTCATTCTCCAGCTAGATTTTTGTATTGAGGAACTTGCAGATGACTTTATACTACAACAACAACTAACATAGTGAGTGTGTTTTATAGTTTGCTGAAAACCTTCACAGACTGTCTCGCGGGTCCTCTCTGGTCTTTCATACATGTGTTACTCATAGAATAAGTACTTACTGATCAGTTGATGCCCTCATATGTTTATCAAATATTTCATAATTAAAGTTATGGATCTGAGGTGTATTTCTCTGGTAGTAAACATGATAGCCAGAGGCACAGTAGGAAGGGGAGGATATGCTCAAAGGAGTTACCAGCAACAATACCTATCGCTAGTAAACCTTCAGAGATGATAGATATGTTTCTGTGTATGTTATGTTTATTTTCTTAATGGAAGAAAAAAATGCTCAGTTAACCTATTGATATCATTTTGCAACAACTTGACTTTTACTCTTGAGGTCATGACCAAAGATAAAGCTAAGTGAAAGTGGATGAAACTGACCTATTGGGCTACTAAGCCATTTCCAGATTCAGACTTCTCCTTTTGCATTCACGTCTGGAATAAAGCTCTCATTGTCAGTAAGGACTTGATAGAATGATGCTTAATGATAAGAATGACTCAATGACTATCAATAATGAAAAACAGAATCTTAGAACCCACCAAGATTTAACTTATTATCTAAACACCACCTCCATAACCCTCACCCCCTGCACACAGGTCCCCACATCCTTAAAGATGTTTTTGAGGCCACCTGACTTTCGACAGTAACTCTGGTATTGCTCAAGATGGATGAATTTAGCTGAAGATGGGACCAAACTGAAACAATTCTTAAGACCCAAGTCAGTGGTCTCTGGGCTAAAATAAAAAATTTATTGCTCAGAGCTAAAACCTGCCAGGATGGTCTTGCGTCTGCCTCTCCCCTTCAAGAACTGGACAAAGCAGGCCAAACCAACCCCAGCCTCAGGCTGAAGAGCCCTGCTTGCAACCCTGAAATCTCATCTTGCTATTTGCTTGAGAGATATCCCTTTAACAGCCAACCAGTCCGCTAGGTGCCTTTACCAAGTGGGAGGGGTATGTCTTATCAGCCCGACTCCCGGGATTAATTGTTTTATCTCCTTTTCTCCTCTGTCTGCCTACAGAGTGCAGAGCTGTCAGTGTGGTCTGCCCTGGCTGCTCGCCTCTCATTCCCTGCCTCTTCTCTTTCCCTAGGAAACCATCTCATGGTTGCAGAGCAGCCCCTAAAGCCAGACTAGAGGCGAAGCCCGCCAGCAGCCCCCTCCCCTCCCACCCCAGCCTGGCCCACATCACCCAGTTCCGGATGATGGTGCCTCTGGGACATTTCGCCAAAGGAGCCAGCCTGGACGATCTCATCGACAGCTGTGTTCAGTCTTTCGGTGAGTTGGCGAACTGCCCACATGGATAAATGGGGCTCTTCTACTTGTTCTTCCTTAAAAAGTGCTTTATAGAATAGCAACCTACATTGCATTTGGGGTTTAAAAATAGCTTTCGAGCCTTTGAAATGTTAGAGACAGTGTGCAGTGCCTATGGCACATGACTGTGTGGGTGTAATAGGTCGTGATGAGAGGTGCGATTTAAAGCGAGAAAAGTTACTGAGGAGAGTTTGTGTTTCCAATTTTCTCAGGATGGAGGTTTTTCTCGTGATGAAAAATATCATAAAATGCAGTGGTGCATCTGGCGCTTTTCTGTTCTTAGGTTCTTGGAGCACACAAAGACTAGCAAACGCTGTTACCAGACAGCAGTTTGGATCATTGGATGGCAAAGTCTGAATAATTCCCCTCACAATCTCGAAGGGTGGTTGAGGTGGAATAGGAAAGGGCTGAGTAAGGCCAAACTGTCTGTGCCTGGGAGATACTGGCAAATGAGCGGTGTGATTGAAGATTGGGGATCTATGAAAGGAGCAGCCAGACGTGTTGGCAGGGAGTTATCTAGATGCCGCACTCTGTCATCACCCGACACACCATGAGGGGTGAGCATCTTAGCACAGCTGACAAGGGTTATCGGCAAAGATGCCCTATTTGAAAAAAAAAAAAATTGTAGGCAGTCTCTTTTGATTGTTATATGTGAAATAGTGATGGAAAAGGACTAAACATTTGTTCCCCTCCCTGAAAAAGGAATGATGGAAAATTCATAGAGTTCTGTTATCACTGGTACCCACTCTGCTCCTTTGGGACCTCTCTGTCTCCCACTGGGAAGCTGATGAGCTTGTGTGGCTCAGCTCAGAAGCCCCAGACCACCCCACCCTGGCACCTTCCGGGGAGCATAAGGAAGACTTGATCAGATTCCAGGTGCTTGAGAGGATCCCAGGTAGCATGACTATGGGATTGTTAGAACTCAGAATGAGGGATTTATTCATTGGCTGGATCTGTGTTCCCTTGTGGCTCAGCTGGTAAAGAGTCCACCTGCAATGTGGGACACCTGGGTTCAATCACTGGGTTGGGAAGATCTCCTAGAGGAGGGAGAGGCTACCCACTCCAGTATTCTGGCCTGGAGAATTCCATGGACTGTATAGTCCGTGGGGTCACAGAGTCAGACACGACTCAGTGACTTTCACTGGATCTGCGTAGTGCTCGGCCAGACCTTATTTGTAGACTTAGGAAAGCTGGGCATTTTGGGTTTCTCCTTTAATTGGATTTAACAAAGCATTGAATAGTTTCCATGATTCCAACATTGATTTAAAGCAGCGGTTCTCAAATGTTCCTGCGAAATCATGTGGCGGTTTTTATGGTAACACAGATTGCTGGGCCCCAACCCCAGACTGGCTGTTCTCAAAGGTCCAAGGTGGGGCCCGAGAACTTACTGTTCTATCAGTTTCCCAGGTGATGCTGCTGCAGTTGATCCAAGAACCTCACTTTGAGAATCACTGCTTTTTTGTTTTAGATTTTTCAACTTGGAAAAGAAGGAGCATATTTTTTTTTTTTTTTACTATTTCAGCATTAAATTTTGATTGAATTGTTATTTATTTACAGTTTAGCATTTCAGCTAAGGATGAATTCAGGAGCAAAATAAATGGTTTTCTACTTAACCTCTTTGGAAAATAACCATACAAGGAGATAAACTAGAAGCCAGGGGGATGGAGGGAAGCTTGGTGGTGATGAGCCATTGTTCGTCAGGCACTTGACTTTCATCTGGTTCTCAGCTCATAAGCTGCAAAGCTTCTCACACAGTCACGGTCATCTTATTTACCGTCTTTGGCAGGGCACCGTGACTATTTCATAAGTAAGCATTTTATCCTCTTTCCATTTCACTGTTGAGGAAATAGGACCCAACAGTCCCGCCGTCTTTCTTCCAAGTGTGCCAGTCATACAGTTGCCCTCTGGGTTCAGGGCTGTTTTTCTAACCTTCAAATCGTCCAGCCATCAACCTGAAAAATACAGGAGGGATTCTGAAGCCCTGCAGAATAAGCAAGCCTAACCCACTCCCCTCAGTGAATGAATCATAAGAGGGCTAAAGATACTTTTGTTTCCTGGATTATATTGAACCGAAAAGTACCTTAAAATCCCAAAGGTATAAAAATCCCATTGAGTCTCATGGTCTTTTAACAATTATCATGAAGCATAGATAGTCCCTAATTAAGCCCCTAATTGCACCTAACTGGCTGTTGCATGAGCAGAATTACAGTGACCGAACCCCTCTTCCATTATTCAAGCTTAGAATTCCTGAGAAGTGCACTGTTTAGGGGGGGAAATATGCAAAAGACAGGGCGGTGATAAGCTAAAGCATGCAGGAAGAATAAATTCCTTAGACCATGAAGACTTGGAGTAAGTTCACTCTGGGGTTGAGAACACATACTGGGGAGAGCAGCCACTCTCTGTTCAAATCTCTGAGCAGGACTGTGAGAACACTGTGGCAGGCAGGAGGGTGCCTTCTCAAGGTAAGGCTGTGCACGTGATGACCTGAAGGGCTTCCTGCCACAGAATTTACATGAAAGAGGCATGTCTGGAGGGAATGGGAAACAGCACTTTCATCTGTGATTTTGACTCAGGTTATCAGTTGAGTTGTCCAGTGGAGGAGGGGTGTGGAGCTGGAGGGGGGTGGGGCTGGGGGTTCAGGCAGGACCGTGACAGGCAGCCAGCCGTGTCACTTCTGCCTTTGTAGGTCTCCCCGGAGGTGATCAGAGAATAGTAATGAGCGAGGTTAATTTTTTTTTAATTTTTTTGAGACATCTTACTGGTTATTTTCTCTGATTAGTATAGAAGAGTTTTGCTTTAGAATAAAACAGTCTGGCTTAGTTTTTCTTTGTGAGTTTAGAAGTCTTCTCATTTGAATACCCATGAAAAGAGGGAAATAGCACTGTTGAAATGTAGGAAAAGTAGTCTTTTTTTTTTGGTAATCTCTCCCTTCAGACTCAGGTTTAGCCACTCCTCCCACCAACTTGGCAAAGAAGGTGGAGGGAAAAAAACCTCTTTTGAACATAAAGACTGATTAGTTAACTTATTAATGTATTTTTTACTACTTTCTCAACCTCACCTTGGTGGAGATGCTTTGAGTTGGCTATAGCTGTGCTGTCCAATATGGTAGCCGCTACCCACATGTGACTATTTATGTAGACATTTTAATTAAAATTAAATCAAATGTAAAATTCAGTTCCTAAGCCTCGGCAGCCACATTTCAAATGCTCAAGAGTTACGAGTGTGGTACCTGCTGCTGGACAGAGTAAAGAGAAAACATTCCCTTCTTTGCAGAAGGTCTGTTCAGTGGTGCCAGCCTGGGCGGACGGTTGACTCAAAGGGGGAAAGCAATGTGGGATTTACCTTCTTCTAGCAGCTCCAGCTACTAGACTCTAAGGCATCCTGGGCATTTGGCAGTCTATACAGATGGCTCCCCCTTTAGTATTATTAACCATTAATTACCTCCCACACTGTTCTCAGAGGAAGGACTTACTACAAGGCTTTTAAGGGTGAATGACCAGCACGTGCAAATTAAGGGTACTCTTGAAGGTACTGATAAGCCTCCCAGTGTCACACACAAGGTTAAAGATCTGTGATTAGAAATTCAGAGCCTTGAGTCATCGTGTGTTGCTTTCACCATGGAAGAGCCCACTCCCACCTTCTGTTTTAAGCAGAGGTCATGCTTTTACACCCTCACCGTATTATTGCTGGTATCATATTATTGCTCTTCCACTGAGCATAATGAGGCAAATCATCACAACCTGGTACATTTATGGCAAATGTGTGTGAATCACACCCATCTGTTTCAGAGGTAGGAAAGACCTATGAGATCATCTGAGCTCTTTATAATGTTTTCACCTTGTAAGAGGGCTGCCAGCTTTGAGAGTCAAATGGAAGGTTTCAGATATCCCAGTTCTGCCCGCCTCTGAATGTAAGACAACTGTGACAGCATCAGAAAGAAAACTGCAGGCACGTCCCAGTAAGGGACCCTCAGCAGACAGTCCTCCTGCTCCCAGATGGGGCATGGGAAAAACCTCAGCGTCTTTGTCTTACATGTCAATGAGAAAGGAAACACAGTAGTATCTCATTTATCTTGTGTGTGTGTGTGTGTGTGTGTGTGTGTGTGTGAAGGCTGTATGTACTGATTTTCTTTTAAACTAAAAACAACTGTGAAATAGGTCTGGTATTACTATCTCCATGGACAAACAAGAAAATAAATAAAACCTGTGAGAATTAAAACAACCTCCTTCATGTCTCCCCTCCCAGAAGCCTCTTGCAACCTCAGCCGGGCCATGCTTGGGGTTCTTCTCCTAGGGCAGGCCTCCCCTCACTTAGGGGAGGCCTTCAGGCCACACAGAACACGTGTGTTCTCTGTGCCCACAGTCTGCAGGCTTGGTGTCCCCCGGATTAGAAATTAAATTCCATTCAATGTAGGAAATATTTGAGCCCTATCTATATACCAGGCATCTGCCTGAAATTCTCTCTCAAACAAATTCTGAGTTAATTAAAATTAGTGTATGCATCGTGTCTCCCAAAGAAGAAAACCCCAAGACTAGTAGGTTTATTTCCCATACCACTAACAGGTGTATTTCCTGCAGTTGGTTGTTAAAAGCACTGTATAGACATGGGTTGTTAAAAGCATTGTATAGACCTCAGCTAATTAAAGATAAAACACTACATCGATTTTTAAAGTTAGAACCAAAAAAGCACACACACACTTGTTGGGACTCCAGTTCCCTCCATGGCGGAGGCAAAATTCAGGGTTCCTCAGCACTCTGCCGCTTGAGTCTGCACCAGAGCCAGGCGTCCCGAGGCAACAGAGGCAAAGGCCAGAAGCCAAGGGCCATGACGTTGAGGGGCACTCAGGCCCAAGAACCAGCAACTCCAAGGAACAAAACCAGTGCAGGGTCAGGAAGGCTGGCCGTCACGGGCACAAGCCCTTTGTGAAGACCACAGCCGTACCAGTAAGCTCCTCGGGGAGTCCC